TTGCTTGCTTGCTTCGGTTGGAACGACTCATCATAAGAAATTGAGATCTGAGTTCCAACACTTCACAGAAGAGAAGAGAGAGAGAGAGATAGAGAGATAGAGGGAGGGATAGATAGATACAATAGGTAGATAGACAATAAAAATAAGGAGGCTGTGTTGTCAATTGCTGCTGCTGCTGCTGTTGCTGCTGCCGCTCGGATCAAATGCAGTTTTGGTTTTTAGGACTCTAGGCCCCCCCCATCTTAAGACTCACCAATTTGAGGGCACCAACCTTTGCGACCGTGTCACACACACGACCATGACGCATGGTAGTTACCTTCCTTTCACCCTCTCAAACTCTCTGTGTCACGAATGTAAAGCATGGTTGGTTGGATGCGCAGATATGTCATAGTCCTTTGTTTCTCGATTGCCCAAGTCTGTTTATGGCCCCCCAAAGGAAAATTTGTATTCAGTGCATCTTGGGCTGGCTCTTAGCACAGTTGAATCACACGGGCATCATTGTTTCAACAAACATGGTTTGCAATGTTCCGTAAGGTAGCAAACTCATCCCCCAAAGACCGCCTATTTTCGATCCACAATGTTTTTTGCAGACCACACTTGTCAAAGACCAATCATCACATCTTTACGTCCCCCACCTGTTGACAACACCTTTGCGATGGATGGGTAACATTTCTATTTTTGCACAGTATTTGACCTGGTCTGGACTTGCTGCGGACTTGCAGCAGCTGCATGGTCTTCAGGCCACCAAACTATTGATTTATTTGTCAGTTTTGTGGTTGCCTCACACTTGCTGAGCAGGTGTCCAAACTTAGTATGTCGGAGTTATCTCATGACGAGCGAGAGTTGGTGCTACAGGCCAGAATTCCAAGTAGGGTTTAAACATCTGAGACCATTTTCGATGCAAAAAGTGGGCGCTCAGGAAGCTTGTCCTTAGAACATAATAGCATTTAAGAAAACGATGGAAGGACAGAAAAAGAGAGAGAGAGAGAGAGAGAAAGACAAAGACAAAGACAAAGACAAAGACAAAGACAAAGAGAAAGAGAAAGAGAAAGAGAAAGAGAAAGAGAAAGATAAAGAAAACAAAAACAAAAACAAAAACAAAACGAGAGGACATATGTGCAGCTTGTAGGTCAAGACATGGTTCACCTGCACCGAAATGGAGGCATTCATTTTTAGCTGTTTAGTTTTTTTTGCAAGTATGTTTGCTGTGGTGCACAGAAATCAAAGTGGAGATGCGGTCTTCTAAGGCTTTGGTGCAGACTGCTGTTCAATTTGCCGATGCCAACTGTGCAATTTTCGAGCCCGAACTGGGTGAACACAAATTAGTGTGCGCCATTTGCGCTCTTGGTGATTTCTTTACCATCATCATGAAATATAACATTTCAGCAATCTTGCTGGCGTCTCAGTCACTTTATTTTCTTGAGGATTCAATTTGTGAACGCTGCAGGTATACCCAGTTACACAACGAGTTCAAACAGCTGTTTGAGGAGCTCAAACCAAGTACTGTAATCACAAAGGCGCATAATTCTTGAGCCTTGAGGACAGACTAAACTCTTTTTTGGCAAGCATTGGTGCAACACCTGAGGCGGGAACCTTGCATTTGGCTTCAGTCTTAAGAGCCGTTGATTGTTTGGGAGGCCTTTTACGCCGCCTTTGAAAAAGCCGGACATGAAGGTGGTGCTTTCAATGCTTTCAGGCCAGTGTGGTGATATGTTGTTATTCGATCAAAGGAGAGGTGCAAACTATGGCAGAGCTGATGTACACCTGCTTGGAGTACGAGTTCTTCTGCCAGGCGTGTTTGTAGTCCGGAAGGAAGGCAGAACGTGAATGTGAAAGGAACGCCTCGAGTCCCTGCGGCTGCGGATTCGACATTCATTGCGCCAGATCATGTGCGAGAGGAAGCGAGAGCTGGAAGCGCAGCACGTGCGCCAGAGTCTTTTTGGGAGGTTGTTTCAGTGTTGCAATCAAAATCAAGCCAGTTTTTCATATCCTGACAGGCGACAGGTGTGCTTCCGCAGCCACATGCGCCGGGCATTTCAGGGTATGGAGGCCCTTTCGTCAAGGTCGCCTTGTTCCTAAGTTGTGCAGACTGACTGAAAGGAACAATCCGATCGCCATGAGAATGAACAACAAGTTACAATATTGTTTTCTGGCTTAATTATGCTTAATTCTAATATCTACAATCTACTGTTTGGTTGGTTAGTAATAGGCCTCTCAAGGCTTTGTATTTGCTTAGCATTTTGGTCCATCTTGTTGTCAGACTCCCAATCTTGTGCCTGTGCCTTCTCAGCATGGAATTCAACCAGTCAGATCAGATCTAGATTTTCTGCACAGCAAAGGCCAAAAACTCCGGGCCATCACTGTGTTTCGTGCAGGTCACAAAGATGGCTATTCTGGTCCTGGGGCACCCTCGGCGGCGTGAGTAGAAAAGGTTTGTCATGATTTGCTTGGATAAACAAGAGATATGGAGGTACCACGTAGCCACCTCAAGCCTGTTCTGATGGCATGATGCCCTTAAGAGTCTGGACACTTCCAGTTTCAAGCCTCATGTTCGAAAGCCGCTAAGCCTCAAAGAAGGAGCTACTTTCAGGACAAGCCGGAGTAAAAGTCAGACTTGGGCCAACAACCTAATAGCAAAAGGAACCTAATAGCGATAGCCTCCACCCTAGTAGCAATGGCCTCCAACCTGATAGCGATGGCCTCCAACACTATATGAGCTTTTTTTGGACAGGTGCATGTACACACCGCAAACAGACATGCTCTCCACTGTTTCTCGTATGGATGGGAGTTTGCTCACAAACTTGCTGGCACAGTCTTCTGTCCATCATGCAATTAAGGGCAACCTCCCTCTCCTCAAGTACGACTCAGGGTCTGAACAAGCCAGGTATGTCAACCGACATGTCAAGCCCAACTCCGTCTGACGGATCATCAGCTAGTCATCTGTGTCACGGATGACCACTTGGTCGCTTGGCACCTCATGTCCGACCGGCCCAAACCTGCCGCTTTCTCAGCAGTTTCTTGCAGCAAATGTGTTCACGACCAGCTCCTCCAAACCTGCAATTATCCACAGTCTTGAATTTCAGTACTAGATTTGGATGGGCATTCAGAAAGATAAGATATCTCACTTGTTTGTTTTTAAACGCCTGTATACAAAAACTACCTGAGACTCGAGACTTGCCAGGGAGGGCAGCGAAAGGCTACACGCTCGCACAAGGCCAGTTGCGTGTGAATGACCTGAGGAATCTTGAAGCATGATGACAGGGCTAGATTGCCTGCCGGCCTGGCGCTCACTCACTCACTCCCTCCCTTCCTCCCTCCCTCCCTTCCCTCCCTCGCTCTGTTGCTCTTTTTTTGTGCCCCAGATGATTCTGTTCTACAGGCATCCACAATCATGCTCAATTCTCCCGGTTGACGGATATGCATTGACAATCCTCAGATGTACGTCATGCGGGAATGATTACACTCCCTGAAATAATCATGGAAGTGGACTGTTTGTATATATATATATATATATGCTACCCCCCCAAATGTCTACCTTTTTATGTAGTTACTATAATTCTATTTTGATTACCAATTTGATTTTGATTAATTCAATTTTGATTTGAACCCGATTCTAGTTCAATGCAAATGTATTTCTAATTCAATACAAATTGAATTCTCATTTAATTATGACTTTATTCTAGAAGATGGTTTTGCTGGGGGTGTGATTTTCAGAAAGCAACCTTTAAGAAAGCAACACATATATAGTTGACATTCTGAATGACCTGATTTAAAGCTACTGTAATTAAATGTTAATTCCATTCCAGTTATCATTCAATTCAATTTTAATGTTGAGTAACTTCCATATATAGTTTTTTAAATTGGAATTCAATGCAAATTACTTTTTAGTTAATGGTTACTTCTTTTCAATTTAATTTCTATGCAGTTTATGTTTAAATCTAATATATATATATTTTAGAAATAATCTAGTTATGTTTTTTATGGACCCCAGCAAAGCCCTCTCTCTAGAATAAAGTCAGAGTTAAATGAGAATTCACTTTGCATTGAATTAGACATACATTGGCATTGAACTAGAACTGAATTAATATTAGATTAGAGTCAAGCAAAACTAAATTGGAAATCAAAATAGAATTAACGTAGAATTGTAAATAACTCAACATTTAATTGTATAAGATTTAAACTAGCTGAAGCCAACATTTAATTACAACTAAATTGAAATGTAAACAAAACTAAATTTGAATTAACATAAAACTAGAATGTAACTAACTATTTTAACTAAACTAAGACTTAATCTAAATTTTATCGTTTCAAATAGAATAGGGTTAGAATTAAGATAGAATTGAAATAGGGTTAGAATTAAGATAGAATTGAAATAGAATTGCTGAACCTGCAGCTCGATTCAAAACTTGAATTCAGTAGTTTTGATCCAGGATTCAAGAACTCTTTTTTTTGAATCTTGAATCTTGAATCTTCAATCTTGAATCGTAAATCTTGAATCCCCTCTCGTTTGCACACGTTTGCAAACGCTATTTCTAGATTTTGTGCTGAGTACAGTGTGGAAGGAGCATTCATAAACTTCCTGAACGCAAACATTTGCAATGGTAAACAAATACTCAAAATGGGGGATATGTTATGTGTTTTATGTGTTTCCTTTCATTTGTTTATTGTATTTTTCGAACTGAGAAGTGATTTGTTTTTGGTTATATTTTTTATACGCAAAAATATGCATAAAACACTGTAAATACCAATCAAAACCAAAAGAGGTGGACATTTGGGGGGGGTACCATGTATATATATATATATAGAATATATAGAGGAAAATTGTCATCCTGCTGTGGGAGGGAGTGTAGGTTGAGTTGAAACTCTAGTTTTGCTGCAGGTTGTATTCCTTGGTCAATCTGGAACTGGCAAAACCTCCCTGATTCGCCAGTTTGTTTACAGGACAAAGTAGGGAGACTGGTGGGAGAGGTGTTTGTTGCATTGCAAGCCTTCCAGATTGAAGAGTCATTTTGGCTTTCTCTGACTGCCTTCTTGGTTGGTAGGGTCTCTGCAATAAAGGCTGATTGCTCAATTATTATTGGAAGGACCTTTGACCAATGCTATCAAGCAACAGTGGGAATGGACTTTGTCACGAAGCTTGTCACGCTAGAGGCATGTGATGCGGCTGATGTGGGACTCCCGTTTTTTGAGGTATGATTTGGGAGAATGTATCGTTAAGTTTCCCTAAACATCTAGGAACCAAATCATTATTAGTGCGCGAGCTATCCTGCGTCCCGTTCCTAGTAGCTTGAGTAAGCTAGCAGCTAGCTACTTCTCCCGACCTCCGCGGCCTACCCCCCCGCGGGTAGTAAGGCACTTGTTTCTAGTAGCTTCTTGTTACTACTAGTAAGGCACTTGTTACTACTAGCGTGGCACTTGTTACTACTAGCCAAACAAAAAAGCAAATGATTTGGGAAAGACTGTTCACATGATTACTTGCTGTTGAGCCATCGGTTTCAGGATGGTGACCAAATGCGGCTGCAGCTCTGGGACACTGCGGGCCAAGAGAGGTTTCGAGCCTTAGTGCCAAGTCGGGCGCCCAGGTGTTGGGCTTGTGAACTGATTGGAAGAGAGTACTGTAGACTGCCTTGCTCTTGGAAAAGGGACTCTGCAGCTGTTGTCGGTAGGAAGGACTGATGCATGGGCATATGACATAGACATCGGATATATATATATATATATGAGCAACCACTTTTATTAGGTTTTACTAAAGTAGTCTACGGCATGCTCTATTTAATTGCTTGTCTATCATCAGTATTCGCTTGTGAACGAGATAGGGCCTCCACATAAACGAGATACTTTTGTTTGATGACGCTAAAGTAGTCTGAACGAGAGAGTGTGATTTGCTACTAAAGTAGTCTGAACGAGATACTGTGACATGACCTCCTGCTTAAGTCTAAACGAGATAGAGCCCCCCACATAATAGATAAGTACCAAATAAATGCCGCCGCACATATTGTAAATGCTTCACCTAACACCAGCTAATTTGTCTAAGTGCATTTGATTCCCCAGCATGGCCAGTGTGATCGAAGCATTTGGAATTGCAGGCTATCTCAGAGACAGCTCGGTTTGCGTGATTGTTTACGACGTCACATCTCGGGCACCTACCTGAGTCTTGTGCACGACTAGCAGCTCTTTGTGCACAAAAGTACAATTTTGAAGTGTTTCCCGTTGAAAGAAATCAACCTTTTCTTAGCCTGTCCGAAGCGGCGACTCCTTTTTCGTTCAATCCATTTCCATTTGGTTTGGCTGAAGCTGCAGCAGCTGCAGGAATCCTTCAACAGCGTGAAGGGATGGGTGGAGCAAGTGCTTGAGGAGATGCAAAATACAACTTTTTTCTTTCCATTTTGCAACATCGTTTAGTGGATGATCAACTGGCTTGTGCATCCTTTGGTTGCACGAGGCCCGATCAAGGCAAGAGGTGACGCTTGCCCTGGTTGGAAACAAGATTGACCTTGAGGCGTGCAAGTGAAACTTGAAGGAACAGAGAATCTGCAAGCCTTTGCCCACCTTTCCTGCATGATGCAAGATTTTTGGCTTGCAGCCACCGGCATAGGGCAGAGGCATTGCCATTTTGTAGGCAGAAGCAGTAAACTTGAAGTGACTTTCTCCAAGACACATGGCATTTGCCTTTTCCTCTTCAGTGGTTTGGCATAGGCCGGGGCGGGGCGCTTGTCGATCTCTGAGCAGACAAGCTCAAAAACTAGACACTTGTGGGATCTAAGGCTTGAGATTGACAAGGCTGTGGATTTCCCAAATCTCTCTCTCTCTATATATATATATATATTTATTTTTCATTGTTTTGCACAGCATGGCAGTCGATTTGTAATTTTTGGCTCAGGTGGACATGAGTCAAGTTCAATGAACGCTGTGTTTAGCAATTGAAACATGTTGACAATATTCATACCTTCTTACCCTGGCAGACCATCGGCATCAGAGCAGTTTTGTACGGCCCAGCTAATTTAGTGGACTGAACTCGAACAGCCATGCGCCGAAGCAGCGCTTAGACATTGGCTTCGCGATTTTTGTTGTCCGCTGAGGAGTGTGCTTCTCTTATCTATCTTCGTATTCCCAACAAATGAGATCGTTGGCTCGGGCTGGAACCCTCTACGGAAACTTAGTGGGCTTATTTGAAACATAAATCCTTCGTTGCAAGGGCAATTGAAGCTTATGCATGAAGCAGATCTGCACCCAAAATGGTTCGAGATGTTTACTCCAAGAGGACCCTAGCCATTCTTAACAAGTTGCCAGGAGTGTTGAGTGTTGACAAGAATTCCTTTACAGTAATCCGTTTGTGATTTCTACTTCCATCATGCTTGCTAAGCACATCATTGCCATGACCAATGCTGTTGCAGGAGCGGCAATGAGGGCGCTCTTGCAGGGTGGTGGCTTCGGATATCGAAATGAAGTTGCAGGCAAGGTGGCAAGGAATTGAGCCAGGTACCAGAATATTATGAGCAAGACTGGTGGACATCCGCCAAATGCAACTACTTGTCTAGGAAGACATACTTGTGTTTCAAGATACAGGAGTTTGACAAATGAGAAACTCCGTTGTTAGGTGATGAGTGGCGGACTGCAATGCCGAAGAAGAAGCCCTGCAGACGGGCGCCGAGACCTGATTTTCTGGCTGGCCTCCCTGGTGCGGACCTAACAAGCTCCACTCCTTCCAATGAGATGTGCACAGCCGCAGAAGCTATGACCCAACCTTAGTTTGGATGCGTCTTTCCAAGGAGAAGCTAATAGCGTCAATAGGTTAAGGGCTTCCTCAAGGAAGCTAAGCTCCCCCTGCCGTCAGGTGGGGGAAGATTTGTTGAAGAGGCCTAAGCTTTCCGTTTGCTAGTTGCTTTGCTAGTAGCCACCTCCTCACGGCCTACCCCCCAAAAAGAGATCAAGAAAAGAAGACTTGGCAGCAAAGAGTTTCTTTTGTGTGTGCCTGTGCCAAGGCCTGTGCCAAGGGTACAAGAGTCAGCGATGCGACGCCGTGAGGAGGAGGTAGGACGTCTAGAATTGCAAAGCGAAGGTGAAGAAAACAAAAAAACACTCAAAGCTGCGAAGGAATGCAGAATGCACATGCTTAAAAACGACAGTGAGGACATTTGAAGTAAGAAACGACATTACACTGATGATGGAGACTATGATTCAGTTGGATGTTGGTCTTTGAGGCTTTAGAGAGCGAGGGCTCTGATGATGAAGGGGTCTTCCGTGAGTATGCCATGGGTGAGCTTGATAAGTGGATCCGAGCTACACTGCAGCAGACAAAAACCCATTGCATTCAGCGAAGCTGAAGCATGCTCGAGGACCACGTCAGGTGTTGGATTTTTCGTGTGCGACGTGGCACCAGCCAACGCACTTTCGCATGATGGGGAAGCCCAAGGCCTCCTGCTGCGGCAAACTTGAGCAGTTCAAGAGTTATCAGAAACGAAGTGCTTTTGCCTGCTGCTGTGGCATGATGGTGACATTTGGACTCTAAGCAAGAATGCCAACTGGTCCAGAAGTTTTTCCCAGCAAGTTACTTGGGGCAGTATTTGAACAATCACGACGAGACACTTTTGGGAGTGGCGTTTTGACAGGTATGAAGAGAGACTCTGAGAGGCAGGTTTGAGACTGCTGCTACTATTTGGCCATTTGCTTGTCACTGTGAGCAGTTAGGCCATGCTCTCATTCGGGAAAAGATATATTGGTGATTTCTGAAAATGGTACGACTGGAGTAAGATCCCTTGAAATTAGCAGAGCAGATTGCTAAACTGGTCAAAGCACCAGCTGACCTTGTCTCACGACCTGTGGCATTTGAGCGCAGTCGTTCTGATGTGCAGCAAAACCGCGACTTTGCCCAGTGAGTGTGTTTCACCTGCCATACACATAAACTGCTTCAGTTTGGCATGTGGAAGCTGTTTCAGGATCGGAAGGTCCAGTATTCTGAGGGAGAAGCATTGGCCACGGAGCTGAAGATGCTTTTCTTCGAGGCCTGGCTTGGGCTTCCGCTTCTCTTGACAAATTTGACTGTTTTGACTCATCAACTTGGATTTTTTCTGTTATTGGTGTGTCTACCGAAGACAAGCGACATGCATGCAAATAGCCATGGTAGGCAAAAGCAATAGCAGGAAAAGCCGACACCCGTGCTACATGGGTTTGCGTGTGTGTTGCAATCTAGTGAACTCTGATAGCGAGCTGCTGACCAGCCACAAAGTGTTCGACATGTCAGCGAGTCTTTTCACTGTTTAAAGTGCAAGATTTGCTGACATTTTTCGAGAGGCCACTGCTCTCAAGTCTGACTTGGTGGACGCAGTTTTTCATGGGCTGGCTGCAGGCCGAGCTGTGATGAAGGTAGAGATAAGATTGGAAAATGTTTGTTTCTTGCAAGGTAAATCAGATAGAATCAGCAGAGGTGTAGAAATTGCTGGTTCGGCAGGTCTGTCATGCGAGCCCAAGGCAGAGTCTGATGACGAGATCGTGCTGGAGCCACAAAGACGCCCCGAGGCCTGTGACCAGTCACAGATGTTTAGCTTGACAAAGCACCTGTCACTGGCTGTCATGTCAAGCCATAGCACACCTGAGGTTTCTCAGAAGCGGAAGAAGTGCTGCGTTTGAAGGTTTGTGTCAAAGTACATCATAGATCCAGTGCTGTCTTTGTGTGTGGCCAACCTGAATGTTTGTGGGCGGATCAAGAGTAACGCAAGCCAGATCAGTGTGGTTTAGTACTGCAGAAGGCTAGCTGCACGACGCATGTACATAGGGCAGGTTGGCCTGAGGTTGGCCACCTGCAAGAGACTCAAAGTCTTGCCGTTTAAGTGCAAGTAGGGGTCCGTTCTCGTCATATCTGAGAAATCTCAAGCCAAAAACATGTCTCAGATGTCTTAGAATACTTTGGGATCCCAACAATGCCCAACAGCAAGAAATGATGCCTAGTGAGGTTGGGGGGTTGGTCGTTTGAACATATAGTATTTTTGCTTGATGTTCCTGACTTGTGGTGGCTCGAAAGAGAGTCAAAAAGCTTCTTACACCTTGAGAGGTAACATGTAGCTCGAATGTTTTGCCAATTAGCCAGCTTCACTCCCAGACATTCGCACCTTTAAGCCAACGCAGTGCTACTACCACTTTTGCAGCTGCTTTTGCAATGACGACCGCAGACTTGACACCAGGCTAGATGAATGCATTCTTATTGTGTATACTGTATACATACATAGTACTTACTGTACAGCTTCAACAACAAGGCCTTTTTGGCAAAGACATTTTGTGGATACAAGCAAGAGTGCTGAGGTGACTTGGTGGAGCCAGTGTTGGTGCCCAAGCTGCGCCAAGTCTGCTACGTTTTCGATAAGTTGTGCTGGTTCTTCTGAAAGACTCAATGTGAGACCTTTGTAATGCAAAACCTTCACAGCCTAGCGGTGTGATGTTTTGTCCTGCAAGGCGTGCACGTCTCCAAAGCACAAGCAGTGATGCTTTAACTGACGACAGCTTCAGCATTCCGCTGGAGGTGCCATGCATATTTCATGTTATTGTTCACATTTGTTCACCATTCCAATGCCCGCAATGTTCATTTGTGCATTCTATGAAGATTGCTCCATTGATTTGAGCACTCAGATACCAACACTGGAGATCCCCAGCGAGTTGATGCTCCAGGCTACAGATCTGCGGGTGTGACAGAAGCATTCTCCTTCATAGTCAATCCTCTCCTACATCAATGTTTGCCTACATGCTTCACAGATAACCACTATGTCACTATGTACTGTGAGTAGACGCTAGGTCCCTCAAGTCCACCAAGCATCGGCAAGAATAGACATCAACGAAAGGACAACACCAGTACTGGTATTAAGAACATCCACACACACACACACACTTGAGAAATCATGCGTGCCCTGAAGAAGCCTCCGTAACCGAATACCTAAGTGATCCAACCAGCTTCGTGTGCAAAGCCAAGGTTCTAAGTTCCAAGGATTTGGATCAAAGTGCATGAGAGTGAGAGGTTCCGAAAAGCTCCAAAAGTCAAAGGCCCAAGTGAACGAACGATCAACGATCGACGATCGACGAATGCACCTCAGAAGAATGCATTAGCTCTTTACTGCACAACAACGTAGGAGACAGCTTGAGCTCTACTTAGAATCAGAAGAGTTCTAGCGAGCAAGTACATGGAAGTGGCTTCCCACTTCCATATCCTCAGGTACATCACCAGCTTCGTTGACCAGGCGACGATGTACCCTGCCTGGTCCCATGCTATAACATGCAGAAAATTGTACCAGGTTCATGTGATCCTCACGACGTCCTCCAAACTTGCAGGGCGATTCGTCTCGGAGACTGGCCGGAACTGAAGGGCCTGAATCAGTCTGAACTGCAACAGTTACACTTGCTTACATTCAAGTGCAAGTCAGTTGGATTTAGTTACGTTCAAATGTGACATGTAGTTACATTCAAGTGCCACATTCAACTGCAAGTTGAGCTGCAAGTAGTTGCATGCAAGTGTGAAAACAAACCTGAAAACAGTTATACTACCTCGTAGCGAACAAAGGAGTTAACGGATATGTGCCAAAATCAACAATGCCTTATTCATCAGGAACCGACTGCGCTGGCAGCTGGGTCACAACTCCTTTCTCATCAGCCCAAGGATAGGGAAAATAGCTGAAATCAGAGCATCTTCGAGCATGCTCGAGTATGTTCCTTTTTGACTTTGAAAGCATCCATGCAGAGGCATGAGTTAGGAGTTGTGGGTGGTGCGTGGGTGTTGGGTTGGCAGCCAAAAAGGCTTGGCAGCCAAAACGGCTTGAAGGGATCAGATCAGAAGCGCAGAAGCAGCGGAAAATTGACAGGTCCACAAGTTTCTACTCATGTTTTTCCCCAGATAGCGAAGCTATGGGGTTCTTGCTATGGGGTTCTCATTTCAAATAACAATGAGTTGCTCGTGCGTGCTTTCGAGACAGGTTGCTGGTGCTGGTGCCGGGTGCCGGTGCTGGTGCTGTGAGCTGGCTGTGCACGCTGGTGCTGTGAGGTGGCTGCCCACGTGGTGGAGACAGGTTTCTGGTGCTGGGTGCCGGGTGCTGGGTGCCGGGTGCCGGTGCTGGTGGTGCCGGGTGCCGGTGCTGGTGCTGGTGCTGTGAGCTGGCTGTGCACGTGGTGGAAACAGGTTGCTGGCGCCGGGTGCCGGGTGCCGCTGGTGGAGACAGGTTGCTGGTGCTGGGTGCCGGGCGCCGGTGCGGGTGCTGGTGCTGTGAGCTGGCTGTGCACGTGGTGGAGACAGGTGCTGGTGCTGGTGCTGGGTGCTGGGTGCCGCTGCTGGCGGTGGAGACAGGGTGCCGGTGCTGTGTGCCGGGCGCGTGCTGTGAGCTGGCTGCGCACGTGGTGGAGACGTGGTGCCGGTGCTGGGCGGCGGTGCTGGTGCGGGTGCTGTGAGCTGGCTGTATACACGCAACATCATACGGTGTCGTCGCTTGAGCATTCTTTGTCTATTAGCGCCGTGTGGTATTTACCCTCTTCAGGTTCTGTTTTGGCCGACAGCTGTGTCAAGGGCTGTACTGTTTGCGCACATACTCAGCGTGTTTCAGCATGCTACACACACAATAGTCGTGCTGGATATTGCTTGGCCTTCCAGCACCAGCAACCTGTCTCGAAAGCACGCACGGGCAACTCATTGTTATTTGAAATTACTCCAGCATAGACCCCAGATAGCAAAAGCATGCAAAAGATATTTTTGGGCTGCGCCCTGCATTGGCAGCAGCTCCAATTCTTACACGCAATACAGCGTGGCGTGTCTCCACTACGCGCACAGCCAGCGCCAGCGCCCGGCACCAGCGCCCAATCTGCACCACACACACACAACGAGCACCAGCAACCCGGCAGCGTATACCAGCACCCAGCACCGGCGCCAGCTCACAGCACCACACGCGCGCAGCCAGCGCCCGGCACCCTGTTTCCACTACGCGCGCAGCCAGCTGACAGCGCCCAGCACCAGCGCCCACCACGCACACCCAGCACCCAGCAACGGCGCCCAGCACTGGCGCCCTGTCTCCACCACGCGCGCAGCAGGGAATAACAACGTATGATCTTGCGCGAAAAAGGTTCAATTTAAGCGCGCAAAAGTATGCGCGCAAACAGCAAAGCCCGTAAGTGTCATTGGCGCAAGGCCAAGCAGTATCCAGCGCCACTGTTGATTTTGTAGCATGCTTGAAGCAAGGATCTGTAGAACGATACGGCCAGTATGATCTTGCGCGTGCAAGTTTACGCGCGCAAAAGTATGCGCGCAAACGGCAAAGCCGGCAAAGCCCGTAGGCCTCAGTGCCGGCGCTGGTGCTGGTGCTGGGTGCCGGGCGCCGCTGGTGGTGCCAGGTGCTGGTGCTGTGAGCTGGCTCCGGTGCGCGTGCTGGTGCTGTGAGCTGGCTGTGCACGTGGTGGAGACAGGTGCTGGTGCTGGTGCTGGGTGCTGGGCGCCGGTGCTGGGCGCCGGTGCTGGGGGTGGAGACAGGGTGCCGGTGGGTGCGTGCTGTGAGCTGGCTGCGCGCGTGGTGGAGACGTGGTGCCGGTGCTGGGTGGGTGCTGGGCGGCGGTGCTGGTGCGGGCGCTGTGAGCTGGCTGTATGCACGCAACATCATACGGTGTCGTCGCTTGAGCGTTCTTTGTCTATTAGCGCTGTGGGGTATTTACCTTCTTCAGGTTCTGTTTTGGCCGACAGCTGTGCCAAGGGCTGTACTGTTTGCGCACATACTTTTGTACGTACAACGTTCTATGCGCAACGTCAAGCTCTCAACCAACCATTGTTTCAGCATGTTTCAGCATGCTACACATAATAGTCGTGCTGGACATTGCTTGGCCTTGGGCGAGTGAGGCCTACGGGCTTTGCCGTCTGCGCGCATACTTTTGCGCGCGTAAACTTATACGCGCAAGATCATACTGGCCTTATCGTTCTACAGATCGTTGCTTCAAGCATGCTACAAAATCAACAGTGGCGCTGGATACTGCTTGGCCTTGCGCCAATGACACTTACGGGCTTTGCTGTTTGCGCGCGTACTTTTGTGCGCATAAATTGAACCTTTTTCGCGCAAGATCATACGTTGATATTCCCTGCTGTGCGCGTGGTGGAGACAGGGTGCCAGTGCTGGGCGCCGTTGCTGGGTGCTGGGTGTGCGTGGTGGGTGCTGGTGCTGGGTGCTGTCAGCTGGCTGTGCGCGTGGTGGAAACAGGGCGCCGGGTGCTGGCTGTGCGCGTGTGGTGCTGTGAGCTGGCGTGCCGGTGCTGGGTGCTGGTAGGGTGCTGCCAGGTTGCTGGTGCTCGTTGTGTGTGTGTGGTGCAGATTGGGTGCTGGTGCCGGGTGCTGGCGCTGGCTGTGCGCGTAGTGGAGACACGCCACGCTGTATTGCGTGTAAGAATTGGAGCTGCTGCCAATGCAGGGCGCAGCCCAAAAAATATCTTTTGCATGCTTTTGCTATCTGGGTGTATGCTGGAGTAATTTTCCTATACCGTGGCGCCCCCACCGCGCACACTTTTGTTGTTTTGTTTTGCTGTGGCGGGCTTGCGCTGTATCCTCAAGTCCTAGCCCATGTGCCGGACATGGTTTTTTCCTATGTTTTCTTGTGGTGGTAGCGCGCTGAGGAGTGAGGAGTACCCGCCTGCTCTTCCCAAGCCATCAGACGCCATAAATCCTATGTCATCAGAACCTAGTATACACAAGATGGAGCCCACGAACCCGAATGCAAACACGTACTCGAAAACAAACGCTCAAACATTTTTTGACACTCTTGCAAGAGACGCTCTTTTGGGACATTCGTGCGACACTCTCGTGCGACGCTTTCGTCGCTTTGTGGGACACTCTTGCAGGACACTCTTGTAGGACACTCTTGTAGGACACTCTTGTGGGACACTCTTTGTGACCTCTTTCCCGCGTTACATGTGTACTACAAGTTGCCAGTTCTGAGGCCACAGCCCCCAGAAGTTGCTTTGTGGACTGACTACATTTCTACTACCAAGTGGCCAGTTCTGGGGTTGGTTGCGACGCGAGGGACCCAAAGCCGCCTCCCGTTCCAGGTTTGTCACCAACCAGGAGCTGCTTTACAGCGCACGCTACAAATTGCCACTTCTGCGGGACACTCTTGTGGTGCACTCTTGCAGGACGCCCTTGTAGGACAGAGTGAGCCACGCAAGAGTGTCCCGCAAGAGCGTGCGACAAGAGTGCCCTACAAGAGTGTCCCACAAAAGTGTCCCACGAGTGTCCCGCAAGAGTGAGGGTGTCCCACAAGTCTTTCCTACAAGAATGTCCCACACAAGTACCCCGCAAGAGTGTCCTACAAGAGTTTTTCACAACAGTGTCCCGCAAAAGTGCCCCACAACTGTGAATTACAAGAGTGTCCCACAAAATCTCCGAGTCCCACAAGAGTGTTCCACAAGAGTGTCCGACAAGAGTGCCCCGCGCAAGTGTCTCACAAGAGTGTCCGACAAGAGTGTTGTGCAAGTGTGTCCCACGGACCCCACAAGAGTGTCCTACAAGAGTTTTTCACAACAGTGTCCCGCAAAGTGCCGTGCGGCACTACTAGTAAAGTCTACAAGAAGTCAACGGTCAAGAGCATTTCTCCCAAAATTCAGTCGTCAAGTCTCCAAAACGAGCGTTTCGCACGAGGCATCCTCAAAAACTCATACTGTTAAAGCCTGCGAAACGAGCGTTTTGTACAAGACTTCCTCCGCAATTCATGCGTCAAGTCTCCAAAACAAGCGTTTCGTACGAGACCTCCTCAAAAAGGTCACAAAAAGTCATATGTCAAAGTCTCCAAAGCGAGCACTTCGTACAAGACAAGCGGGAAGGCCCATCGGACACACGCATCAAGCAGCCCTGCCAAGCAGTTTTGCAATTCCAGCTCCTCCAAACAACGCCCGCTCGCGCGCCAATCCCAATGTCACAGGGTCATTCACCTCCACCGCAACTCGCAACCTCACGATTCCCTGCGCCCGCCGCCAAAATTTGCCTCCACACCCTCCAACGCGCGCTGAAGTGGAGCGCTTACGATTCCCTGCGCCTGCCACGAAAGTTGTAGAAAACCGGCGCAAAGTATTGCGCCTGCCACGAAAAGTCGCAATATCATTTCATGTTAGCTTCAGCAAAGATTGTTACCACAGCACACGTTTGGTGTGTTTTCGGCACGTTCTGAGCACACTCCCCACCAGCAAAATCGCCACTTTAGTTGAGACTTGTCACGAAAACACGGCTTCGAAGCAACGAGCCTGAAACGCAAATCACAATGTCACGGCCACTCCAACACCCCAAAAACACCACTCTCCAAACGCCAATCCCAATCTAACACAAAACGCTTCGCCTGCAGTGAAATCATCCTCCACGCTTCAACGTCTCACGTTTCCACGTGGTTCCCCACTATTTCGCACGAATCACGACGCGTCATGCTTCCATCCAAAACCCTCTCCAAAAGCTTCGCCCAATGTCAGCGCCATAGCGCCCTACCGCGAAGGGTTGCGAACGGTCCCCCGGACCCCCACAGTTAAACAAGAACCCACGCGTTCGGGGAACATATACAAATTATTGCACTCGCATCCAAAAAGCCAACAAGGGGTGATTGCAGGAAGCAGCTATTTGCAGTTGATTTGCGTGGCTTCGTTTGCGTGACTAGGAAATCAACCGTCACGCCCCCTGCTTTTAACGCACACACACACACGCTTAGGAAATGCATACTGAACTGAATGCCGCTTGCCACACGGCAACCTGGGTACCCAAAGTCCAACCCACGAGGTAAGGAAGCGACGGCAGGGCGAAATGACGGCGGACGCTCGCATCTGCAGAACGCTTCAGCCCTGTAAGGAAAAGAAAAGTCACAGCATGAGCGACAGTTCAAACAAAAAGCAGGTACGTGGAAATCGCGTCCAATTTCCATATCTTCAGACGCATCGCCAGCTTCGTTGACGAGGCGACGATGTATCCTGCCTGGTCCCCTGCTCCAAAACTGCTATACATTTACAAACAAACGCAAAGAATCCCTGTGATTCCAAGGGTTTCACACACACACGCCTCCCGATTAGGGAGCCCGGAACTTTCCAAATTCGAAGGAACCCCTGTGGCTCCAAAGGGGTATCGCGCACAAGCCCCCACGTGAAGGGGCCCAGAAACTAAGGGGCGAGCAAATGTGCATGTTTGCGCGCAGAGGAGACAAAAGGATGAAGGCGTGAGAAGAGGGCAAGACAAGACCAGTGTGTGTGATTGCGACGAGGGGGAAAACAAGGTGCACAGGGACAACCACTGAACCGAACCTCATTGTCAAAATTTGGGCGCCTTGAACCCTGGGTTGAAGGTAAGTTGTGCGCGTACACGCTAAGGGCCGGGCTGTTGTGTGCGCAAAAGAAAGAACGGAGTGAGATGACAGAGCGTGAAGGCAGAAGGACATGAAAAGAAAAGGGAAAGAAACGTATAGGTGAGGGGGCAAGGATGAAGGGGGTAACCAAACGCAAGGGCCAGAAACCAATGAGACCAAACCTCATTAAAGGACCTAGGCAAACCGAGCCTGGTTTAACATGTGTGCGCTGTATGTGCACCTAAGGTTGGGACAGGTCCCAGTGGACCTTGAAAAGCTTTGGTCGTTGCGTGCCCGAAGGCTGCCTACTCAAGACCGCTGCGGTCATCTAACGGCTTGCTCGAAAACTGCCTACTCAAATGCAATAATTCATCAAGTCTCTGCAAATAACTTTGGCCTAAACCTCCTGCTGTCCGCTCCGGACACGAGTCGGGCAGCAAGGACAAACCCCTGTTCGACGGGGCCACAGCGGACACTCCTCGGTTACACCCTGGGCTCTCACTAAGGAGAGACACACTTAGGAAATGCGTACTGAACTGAATACCGTCCGCCACACGACAACCTAGGTACCCAAATTCTTGAGAAGGCATGTAAGGGGGTCTGATCATCTCTAGGTGTTGGGAGGCCAAAGGTCCAATCCACGAGGTAACGAAGCGACGACAGGGCGAAATGACGGCGGCCGCTCACATCTGCGGAATGCATTAGCCCTTTATGGAAAAGAAGAGTCACAGCGCGAGCAACAGTTCAAACAAAAACAGGTATGTGGAAATGGCGTCCCATTTCCATATCCTCAGATACATCGCCAGCTTCGTTGACCAGGCGACGATGTATCCTGCGTGGCCCCCTGCTCCAAAATTGCTAGTTGAGTATACATACAAAAGCACAGTCAAAGGAGTCCCTGTCATTCCAAGGGTTTCACACAAACACACACCCGCGCGGACGCTGGAGACACGATAGCCTGAGCAGGGTCCTGTGACTTTCCCCTTGAAGCCATGCAATTCTTTTTCTAGGGCTAGAGTCTAGACAGCACAGTATGTGCGAGCAGGGCAGGCAAGGCCAGCGACAATGTCAGTCAATGGTAGTGATTGGCTGAGCAAAAACCACGCGCTAGAGTGGCTGTGGTGACGGTGACTTGGGCCATTTCCAAACAGCTTTTTGCAGCCGGCCAGGTCCCTCAGTCAGGTTCCCTACCGATGCCCTCCCGGCCAAGCTCCAGCTCACCTTCTTGCCAGTCGCTTGCCAGATAGGGCAAACTGTAGAGAAGTAGAGCTGACCCACTGGCGAATGACGGTTTTGAGCGAATTCCAACCTTTTGTTTATTCTGCGTTTGCATGAAACATATTTGCCGGGTCTTGGCCAAGGATCGGGTCAAGGGATCTCGAGGCGCCCCGATACTGCCTGGGCGAAGGGGAAACCTTTGCCGATCATCACTCATCAAGTCACAAGAAAGGCTTTTGACCATTAAATTTCGCCTGAGAAAGACCAGACCCGTGTTGCTTAGACAGGTGCACTCTGCCCAGTTGGTGCACCCTCCGAGGAGCGGATTGAGATCGGTAGCCTGCGCCAATTGCACTTCAGATTGTCCGGTTTCCTGCAATGTGACGTTTGAGTATTGGTTCTGTTTATTTGACAGGGTTCCTCCACTGGGTTCCAGGTTCGATTCCCCCATATGTACACCTGTAACTTTGTCACAGATTTTTGGCAGGGTGGCTTTTGGCAGGCAAGCATGCACCAACAGGCATCCGAAGGCATAGGTCCTGAGTGATCCAAGCTCCATACATTTTGGGACCTCATCACCTCTGCCCTGGGGGAAAGCGCATTCAAGTCAAGCATGCTGCACCATGACCTGAAAGTCTCCAAGATACAGGATCCTCAAAGCTATTGTTCAAACAGCTGATTGTTATTTACAGCCTTCGGCATGCCGCCGGCCATCAGCTCGAGCCCGCACGGCTGGTCGCCATGGCCCGGGCGTGTGTAGCTGTGTGTAGCTATTGTGTTTTTTTGTGTGCAGGTTACGCAAAGGTTAGCTAACAGAGTGTACGATATCAAAGTGCGTGAAAACAAGGGGTTTGTGCGCGACAGGACTTGGAACATGCACGCTGGCTGGAGATGTTTGTGTCAATGAGGTGCGGCGTCAAAACGAAGTAGTGTAAGAGCCATGTAAGTGGAGAGCAACTGGCCAAAAACAAAAGCTGCGCTGGTGTTACAGCGAGTGGGCAGCGAACAGTACTTGCAGAGAGCGCGTGTGTAACACAGAGCTTCTGCAAAAGCGACATGTAAGCGAAAAAAAGTAGCGAGGAAATGGTTGCAAGGGGCTTGTGCGCGACATGCCTTGGAAGGTGCACAGGTTGCGGTGTCAGAGCGAAGTCGTGTAAGAGCCACTGCCTAGAATAACGCCGTGACAGCGTAAGCGATATAGCGCCCAATTGGCAGCGAGTTCCCGCAAAACGCGTGGAAAAACCTAGGTTTTTATACGTTTTTCTACACGCGCGACTGTGCGCCAATGCATGGCCTGCTTGAAAAAGACGAAGAGGGGGAAAAAGAGAAGAGAAGGAGAACGAGAACGAAAAGAGAAGAGAAGCGAAGACAAGAGACGAGACAAGGGGACGAGACAAGACAAGGCGAGAGGGCGGTAGGAGCGCCTCAACATTAAAAGACGAAAAATGAGTTGGGAAGATGATTTTCATTACTAAAAGTACGAGCACCTCAACATGAAAAGAAGAAAATGAGTTGGGAAGATGATTTTCTTTACTAAAAGTACGAGCACCTCAACATGAAAAGAAGAAAAATGAGTTGGGAAGATGATTTTCATTGCTAAAAGTACGAGCACCTCAACATCAAAAGAAGAAAAATGAGTTGGGAAGATGATTTTCATTACTAAAAGTACGAGCATCAACATTAAAAGATGAAAAATGAGTTGGGAAGATGATTTTCATTACTAAACGTACGAGCACCTCAACATCAAAAGAAGAAAAATGGGTTGGGAAGATGATTTTCATTACTAAAAGTACGAGCACCTCAACATCAAAAGAAGAAAAATGAGTTGGGAAGATGATTTTCATTACTAAAAGTACGAGCATCAACATTAAAAGAAGAAAAATGAGTTGGGAAAATGATTTTCATTACTAAAAGTACGAGCACTTCAACATCAAAAGAAGAAAAATGAGTTGGGAAGATGATTTTCATTAC